TAGAGGCAAAATAAAAATCTTTTTTGAAGAGATTTTTGTCAAGAATAAAATGTTTTTTCAAAGTCAAAACATTAAGCTCGTTTTGGATATTCTCAGTAATAGCTGAAAAGGTTGGTGAAGTTGGAGGAGATGGCTGTTCAAGGTTTGTATAGACATGTTTTGGTATATTTGTAGTATAATATGTATTTTGAAAGCTAGGAGAAGGGATATCAAATGTAGATTTTATTGGAGGGTTTTCATGATAAGGGATATTGATGATAGAAGAGATTTTGGAAATACTTCCTAAATCTATTGTACTAGAAGAGGAAGAGGCTTCTAAGAACTTGGAACTTGTAGAGTGACGATGGAAAGATAGTTTGGCATTGCCATTTGTATATTGGGTAATGGTTTTAATTTGGACATTAGGTTGAGGTGGTTGTGGTATTTCTGGTGGCGCTGCACCTTTAAGGATCCAATCTTCTAGAAGGGATATGTCTCTCCATTGGATGACTTTTGCAATAACAGTGTTTGAGCGAGATAAATCTGTTTATAGGAGGAGTGTTTCTTCTTTTTGAGATTGGAATTGTGTTTGCTGGTAAAGGCTGAGAACATGGCTTTGTAATGTATTTTGGATATGAGAGCAATAAGTATAGATCCTTCGAGCATGTCATAATTATAGGTCTTTATTTGAAGTCTGTAAAATATTCTTGTCTTTGAGAGATATAGTTATATTTGGATAGCAGTTAAAAGATACCGGGTCACTGCAAAGGCTAAACTCGATAGAACTAAGAAGAGAGTCTTGGAAGTTTTGAAATCTAGCACCTCAAAGGAAATCAAAGATGGAGATGTTTAGACCTTCTTTTGTAAGGGGTGTTATCCCGACTTTGACAAGGCTAATATGAATATATTTATAGTTTCTAACTAGATGTTTTTGTAAGGACTTCTGAGAGAGAAGTTGTATGGTTTCAAAGGGTTTTGTAAGTTGAATATCTCGTTTCTTAGTTTTGATAGTAAAATCTATTTTGAAAATATCATATTTAGATTTTTGGTAAATTTGATTTTGAGAAATTTTTAGGATTTTCCAATCATCAATGTTTTTTGTATAGTCTTCAATGGTTATTTCTTCACTTTGTATAATTTTTATGCTTTCAAAAGATTCAAAAATAGAGGAAGCTGAAGTAAAAGTAGTCTTATGGAAAACAAAATCAATGAAAAAGAAAGATAAACTAAGAAACAGGCTGTAGGTTATATGGATTTATTACCCTAAGACTCAAACGAGACTTGCACCATTCAGTTGCATTCACTTATTATCTAATGGTCTCTATTCTTTTTAAGAAAACTATCTTTTATGTTACTAAGCCTACCCTGATCCTAGTAGGTTCTGATATCAGGAAGGAAATGCAGTCAGTACATAGCATTGTTATACCCGAGAATGATCTTAAAGATCGGGTCACATGTTTCTAGCCTATATACTGATTTTACAAAATCATCAAAGAAATATATAAAATAAACATCAAAGAAATATATAAATTATAAATAGATTTATGATGCGAATGAACAAGGCAAGACCAACAATGTCAGGATCCTTGATCAAACACAGAGCATACTTAACGTATATAAAATATATAAAAAATGTAAATAATAAAAATAGAATCTTACGTAAATTTATAATGTAAATTAATACAAGAGATATTAGATACAAAGGAGAGTGGAAAAAGGTTACAGGTATGAGTTCTAAGGGAAAATAAAATTTTCTCAAGGAAAATGATAGTCTCCCTTGTAAAGATTGAGGAGTTCCCTTTTATAGACGAGTTGACATGGAAGAGGCCAAAATATCTTGTTGGTGATTCCGTTAGAACCCATGTGAACCTATGTGGTATTGTCTGCCATGATTGAGTGATGGCAAAATGAAAAAAGCCTATGTTTTTTATGGAACTTTCATCTGTTGTCTTCTTACCACCGACACTGGATTCGTTTGTTTATAGTAGCATGTAATATTTATGAAAAAAAAAGTCCAAAACAAAGGGAATTAAAATAAAAAAGGACTCAAAATAGATGAGTAAAAAAGATATAGCTCTAAATAGATGAACTTGAAAAAGTTGGAAAAATACTTTTTTTTTCAATGTCGTTTGATAGGTGGTAGAATACCAAAACAGTTATCTTCATTATCATTTTTAAGGGAAATGGTAGGAAATATCGATCTGGATGAGTTGGATTGGGACAAGACTGTTTTTGGGTCTTAGCTTTGTATAATGCTTTGGACGATTTGTAAGTATTTTTTTTCAGTTCTAGCAGAGGCAAGGAGAGCTGCCATTTGAGCCTTTCTAACTAGAAACTTTGATTAAGGATGATGATCAATGATGAGAGTTGTCTGATGTTTTTTTAACCATTCTGTAACAGCTAATTTGAAACTTTTGGATTCAGCTGTAAAGGAATCCCGTCATTTGATTTTGAATTTACAAACAAGAACTGGATGTTAGTTTTGTAGACTATAATCACAGAACCATGAACATACCCATGACATAAAAAATTTTATATAGAAAATGAGCAGAGAAGAGAACTTCCTTTCAGAAGGAGCTGGTTGAAAATTATTTTTAAAATTGAGGTAGCTGTTTTCAACCAGAGGATGGTCTTTGAGGTAGTCAACATGACAACTATAGTAGTCCCACCATTGGAGGAACCAAAGGGGGAGGTTTGTAGTGTTAATGTCATTATGGAAGTAGAAAAGCAAAAAATGACTATGGTTTGGATTTTGTAGGAGGAAGGCATTGAACCATGCCTGTTAGTAATCTCAGTACGTATAGGAAGTATTGAATTCCTGGGGATTTGTACGAAAGTTTACGGGGAAGAAAAGAGGTTTATGTAAGGGTTGTCCTCAGTCTTTAGGGTGAATGACTTTGTGAATGATACATGTAGAATATGCCGGTTCAGTGTGACCAGAGTGAAGTTTGAAGTGTTTGAATTTGATAGAATTAGTAATTTCAAGGATTGTGGTATAATAGGATTGTGGTTTGGCTAAATTCCGGGGTTTGTAGTACCAGTTTGAGGGGAAAATTTTGAAAGCTGTAATGGAAGGGTTTTCATAATAAAATCCTTCTTCCATAGTTAAAATATTTTGGAAAGTAGTTTTGAAAATATATTTGGATTTGGTTATTCCATTCCTAATTTCCTAACCCGAGAATTCCTTTAAAATAGGTCTTGATGCCTTCGAAAGCAAAGGCCAAAGACAAGGGTAAAGCCCCTTAAACCCAGCCTACAAAACCAGAGAGCCAATGCTTAAAACAGCTTGCCATATAGAAAAAATCAGTTTATATATATATATATGTATGTATGTATGTATGTATGTATGTATGTATCGTTCAAGGCATATTTATGCCAATATAAAGAAGAAATAATTTCATGGTTTGGAAATAAAAATTAGATCCTGAGGTGCCTCAAAAGCTTATATAAATCTTAGTTATAGCATCCATACGAGGCATATTATAGATGTTGACAATGAAGCTTTAAATTGGTTGAATAACACCCCTACTAAGACTTACACCAAACATTTATTTGATAGTGAAGTTAAGTTTAAAAATGTAACTAATAATTTGGCCATGTCATTCAATATCTAGGTTGGAAAATATAAAAGCATGTTAACTATCATATTATTAGAGAAGATTAGGTTGAAACTTATGTCTAGGTTTCATGATAGATTCGCTAAGTCTGCAAGTTATAAAACAAAGACCACAACCTATGTTAGGAAGCTAATGGATAATGTTACAACAAGTTCTAATAAATATCAATTATTTGAATGCTAAACCAAAATCTTTATTGATATGAAAAAAATAGTGCTTATATGGTGAATGGATAGTGACAAGTATGCCATGTGGATATATGGTCCTTTATGTACATGACAAGAGAATGATATTAAATGGTTTTTTTTCATGAGTATCGTAATGTTGAAACATTTAGAAAGACATATAATGAGGTGGTGTACCCATTGCTAAAAGTTCATCTAGAACCTAAAAAAGAAGATGTAATTGTTTTACCCTAAACTTTAAAAGGAGTGTGGGTGGATTGAGAAAGAAAAGATAAAAGGAAGAAAAAGAATATCAACCTAGTAATGTAAGGATATAGGACTTCCATACTAAGGAGCAACAACTACAAGAAATATAGACACACTTCCAAAACATATCAAAGAGATAATGCTATACAACTTACATGTGGTAGTAATGGTAAATGATCTAATAGTGTTGGCAGGGGATTCAAAAGTATTGAAAGTGAATGACAAAGGATCTTGAGGTGTTGGTAAGGGTTCTGATGGTGTTGATAAAAAATCAAGAGGTAGTAGACATGGTGTCTCGTTTCAACCCTCAACGTAAACACATATCAATCTCCTAAATATGCATGATAGTTCTATCAATGTAATTTAAGTTGCACTAGTAATTAATGTTCTTTGAAATTCTAGACTAGTGTTGGTATAAACTCTCAACACTTTATCTAAACTAGCTATAATGATTAAAATATATAGATGAGCGATGACTTTATGTAATAATGATTAAATTCTAGACTAGTTTTATGCAATATAGAATACTAGTAAGGACAATTCTATTTCATTTTGTTTGTTTAAAATATTGGTGTTAATAGTTAGAAACATTAAGATTACACAAACTAAATTAGTTACTAACAATAACTTTATAATTGTAAAGACAACTTCTATATTGCAATTGCTTATCCAAACTCTATATAACTCATCTTTCATTTTGTTCACTTCATTTAGTATTTACTTGAAATTATTAGAACCTTTCCTTCTCATGTAGTTAATTCAAATTTATTTATAGATTTGCACAAATCAATAAAACTATTGTCTCGTGACTGGTCATCACATATATAGAATATCTTGTTTTTACTGGCTTCTATTTTTTATACCCTTATATTTGCTATTTTTTTCACATTTCATGCACCTTTTATTCCTAGACTTTATTCTATCAGAGATATTACAGGATTGTATGTTATAGACATTTAGTTTAGATAATGACATTCTGATAATGTGTGTGCTTGTTATATTGAAATATTTAGTAATGTGTGTTTATTGTTCAATAATGGATTCATGGATGGTACTTGTGAGAGAGTTTTGATTGTGTGTTTGCTAGATTTGTAGGCAATATTTGCTAGATTTTTAAGGTAATGTTTGTGAGGAAATCTTGATTGTGTTTTTGCTAGGTTTTTGTTTATTTTTGTTAAAGTGTTTGTTATGCATTTGATGGAATTTTAGCTGATATGTTGGATGGAATTTTGGAAAGTATTTTTCTTCACATGGTGTGTTTATTTTGATAATGTGACTTTAGTATTTTGTTGTTGCAACTAGTTGCTTGGTTAAGAAAATAATGTATCAAAGAAAAAGAAGAAGAACTTGATTTGTATTAAAAAGAGGAAATATAGCTAAATATATACAAGGATGACATTTTCATAATTATAATTAAATTAACAACGTCTAGTTTTCTTCTTTTTTTTGAAAAAAAAGCAATGGTAACTTTAATGGTATTTCTTGGAACATGAACTCTTTAATTATAATAAAATGATAATCTTGTAAATAATTTTATGATTCTGTTTGTACATCATAATAAATATGTATATTGTTACGAACTTGTAAACTTTATAATTTCTTAAAGAATAAAGGCTAAATAAAAAATTGACTAAACCATAATATATAAAATGAAATTTAATAAAGGAATAATTCTAAACAAACTATTTGATTTTATTAACTCAAAAATTTTTCCAATCGAAGTGAATGCTCACATAAATGCTAGTGCTATTCTTGTCCCATATATGTCTTGCCTATGAATAATGATTTTAAGTTCATTATTATATATGTATCATTTATATTATTTAGAAACTTATAACAAAACAAATAATTAATATAAAAAATAATGTGATCAAACAACTTTACAATTGATCGGGTCTTTATTTTCAAGGTATTTTTAAAGTTGGATGAAATAATAAAAACATTATATGTGAAAATACTGACAAAAAAAGATTTGATGGAAAATACATGTAATATTTAAATAAGTGGATTTTTCATAAATATAGCCAAAACCCTTTTCCTCCTTAAATACATGGTTGATAGTAATTAATCTTGATTTTTTATTTTTTTTCCAAGTTTTGTTTGATTTCTCTTTATCATTAGGGTTTGTTTAGTGTGTTTTGGTTGACTTTAAAGGGAAACACTAGTTGAAGTAAAGATTTGGGAGAGTTGGAAAGTTAAGGGGTTAAAACGAGAAACAAGAAATTTTTAAGGAATTAAAATAATTAAAGGATAAGCTTGCAAATAATAAGTAATTGAGTATAAATTTGACTATTAAAGTGTTATTCACTACCTATTTCATTGTGTTTGAAGTTTTGGGCATATGTGGGAAAAAATCTCTAATTTATCCAAACTAGAGTTCTTGAATAAAATTAAGGGAATGTGTATCTAGTTGTGAAATTTTAAATTTGGCATGAAATACATGTCAAATAGAGTAAGATTTTAGAACTAATTGATAAAAATCAATGGTTGACCATTAATCCTAGGGTGAACCATAAAATAAGTTTGGAGGAATGGAAAAATTTGATGAAATTGTATATGAATT